GGACGTTTGTTAGGGAGACGGTTCGCACGTGGCGCCTTGGGTCGGACTGTTCCATTTTTTTCGAAGGGGTGTTCCGTTTTGGGAACAATGGCAATTAGTCGGTTATCCAGGTAAGTATTCACGAAATAGACTTGATAGTGTGGACAGAGCTTTACACTACTAGTTAGTTACATAACTCACCACACTTGCCAGAGCCATGTGACCCAGGAGGCAGAGCAGCTGGTTGATTGACATCTACATTAATTCCTTTGGTAACGATGCACTCTAATATCTCGTAGCAGGTGGTAGTGCAGTTCTTGACTGCAATGTGAAGGGGCGAGAGCCCGTCATTGTTGGTAGCATTTACGTCAGAGCCCCGAAGTACCAGTTCATCAACTGCTTTTACCATTCCAAAGCCTATACAGTCATGCAGAGGTGTATTACCTATAGATCAATCAGGAAATCATGAAATCAATCGATCAAAAAATGGCTTTTAACATTTCCCCCTTATTCAACATTAAATATTTCAGGGGTTGCATACATGACAGAGCAGAATGACAGCAGTGATAACACTAGTGGGGGAAAGGGGGGATTTTCTCCCATTGGACAAGCTTGGAGTTTGTTGGATCAAAAATTTAAATATAATATTTTGCCTACCCAAATAACATTATTTTGATTGCCAATCCCTAATGTTGTGGTCTAAAAGCACAGTTTGGACCATAGTAAGCGATATAAACTCTCCCTGTCAACCTTACCAGGGAATTCTTTATTCCGGAAACCCTGACCAAGGCTCTAGTCAGCCTGTTGCTTCGGAAGCCCCATCGGACATGTCATACCCCTTGTCAGAAAATATTTGGAGTCACCGCTGAGAACAGCACAAATATATACTGTATTCAACCACTGTAATATTTACGTACTTCAACAGACAACAATTAAATGGTTAAACTCAAAAATGTAGTTTCAAACACACAGATTTAAATTGGTTAGAATGGTTCATTACCGTTGTCAAGTGCAGGCAGTGACAGAAGCTCCCTGCCAAGTGCACATTGGAACAGCTTCAAAACACACTCCTCTTTGCCCCAGCTACTTGCAGTATTTAGACATGTCTTTCCCACTTCATTCATCTTATTGTAGTCTGCCCCGCCTTGCAGTATCAGATCCTCAATGATGTCCGGGTGGTCATTCTTCGCTGCCAAGTGCAATGCTGTTGTTCCTCCTAGAAACCTTCCTAAAAGTAGAAAAACAGCAAAATATAATAATATGACTAAAATTTATTTTGTACTCAGTGGGCCAAATTACTCCATTTCAATAACCAGCCCAGAAGATTATAGGCAAGTATAAGAAATATACACCCAAGTCAATCATGATGTCACCACCACTGTTCACTTTAACTCCCAATGTTACTTTCCTATCCCAAACCATGCACTCATTTTTAGTCAACAGTATGCTTTTTTTTCAGTTGGTGTGCAAAAGGGCAAAACACTTGTACAATCAGGCGCTGCGATGGATTCTAGGCTGGTGTTTTTACACCTTGCATTAATCTAACCTTCGTATAATAATTTCACCTAGTGTATAAGCATTGCAAATATATTAACTTATTACATACTTGTTATAGATCCTGGTCGATTGTAATATTGAGTGGCTACGTTGATATCTGCTTCGTAATCTATGAGAAGACGCAGGCAATCTCGGTGGCCATTTTGTGCAGCATAGTGCAAGGGTGTCACACTGTAGGTATCACCAGCATTGGGGTCAGCTGTTGGGTGTAAAAAATTAAAGTGGTATTTACTTAAATTTCTTTTTTTGAAAGCATGATCAGAGTTCGGAGATCGTTCCTAGACATGATGGAGACGAGACGGCTTGGCTGACGTCTCTGAAAGGGTTTGGATTGTGTTATTATTATTCACTTCAGGAGCCAAAAAAAACAAAACATTAAGTTATACAATCATTTTTATACAGTTAATGTTGTGCAATTACTGTGTCATATCACTCCTGCCCACCTACACCCCACCCACCCCCTCCCCCTCCCAACGACTAGGCCTAGGCCCCTAGGCCTACCTTTTCACTCTAGCCTAATCACATGTTTGTATTCAGAAAATTAAACCCACGAATCAGATATGAATGTCTGGTGGTAACAAACTCCACCGACCCCCTCCCCCTCACTCCTTCTTTTTTTGATTAATTTAAATTTTGTCCTAGGTTAGGTTGGCCTGCCTACCTCCATTCTCAAGCAGAATTCTCAACAGCTTAGCGTTGCCCGACAGACAAGCCCCGATAGCTGGCGTCTGGTAATACTGGCCTGAAAAGATGTGCTGCCTAACGTATGCTGCAGCGTTTCCATCGGCTCCTTTTTGCAACAAATCGATGACCATGTCGATGTCTCCATTACCACTAGCTTCTGTCAGAAGTTTATCAAGACAAAGTTGAGGATTTTCATCAAATTTACTGTAAAGTTCCAGTGACTGTCTGTCCGACATCGTTTGTTGACGAACATCATGTGAACAAGTTCTCGAATCTGATCTGATGAAAGAAAATACAAGTCTGCCGCCCTCTACTTTATTGCCGTTCATTATGCGTACCATAGACATTTTTATTATTTAACATAGAATTGAATAGATCACCCATTATTTATATATAATGCATTTACGTCTAAAAAGATTATATGTAAATAATTGTGTTAACGTTTTCATTATTTATATACAATTACTTTACTGATTTCATTATATATAAATAATGAAAGGGTAACCAAACATTATTTATATATAATAAAGTTACTGGTTTCATTATATATAAATAAGGAAAGGGTAACACATATTCACCAATGCTCTTTAAGTTACAATTAGGGCCTATTGTGTGTAGTCTACAGGTCGCAGACCATCACCTATTGAAAATGGCACAGCAAGGGATTTTATAGATTATTGAGAATGATAGATCACCGAAAAATAGATAAAATGATAGTTGAATGACCAACAAAGTCAACTTAAGACAATAGGTCGTCATTAGAAGTTATTTAGTATAACCTCATTCGGGAAATTAATCTCAAATTCGAGTTGCCGTCCCGGGCGTTGTCAGTGACGTCGTATGATTCGTGTGCGATTTTTACCAATTAACCCCTAAATAAAAAATAGTTGAGTCATGTAGTACCTTGAAAATCAATCCAGAAACCCGGTAGTTTTTTGATTGTTTATTGTTAGCTTTCCTTGGCTGCCAAAAATAGTTTTTTGGCAGTTGCGTCCCTGGTGACATCGTGCAGGCATGGTGAAGGCTGGTTACGATTTGGTGGCACATCGATTGAGTATTTTCATTCATCTGGCCATGTAAGTCAGTGGCTTATCTAAATGTCTTGAAATGGGGGAGGGTGCTGACTGTCTCTTGCTGATAGGGGACGCGAAAGTGAAGTGGAGGGGGCTGGGTTCGATGATCAGTTGAGGGGCGCTAATTCACAAAATAACGTGATTTTAGGTGATTTTTTAATTCTTGACCGTGATATGAAACCAATGTTAGTATAATCTATAGGTAAGCATGTGGTTAACATAAGCAATTTAGTCCAACGAAACTGTTTATCATCTTGATACCTTCCGACGAAAATTGACCCTACCAGCGTCACCACGGCGTCCCCACCGATCGATCTAACGTGACGTTGTTATGTGGGTGTTTTATATAGATTATTGAGAATGGTAGATCACCGAAAAAATAGATAAAATGACAGTTGAATGACCAACAAAGACAACTGAAGACAATAGTTAATTATTAGAAGTTATTTAGTATAACTTTATTCGGAAAATTGATCTCAAAATCGAGTTGCCGTCCTCGGTGTTGTCAGTGACATCGTATGAATTGTGTTCCTTTTTTTACCAATTAACCCTTAAGTAAAAAATAGTTGAGCCATGTAGTACCTTGCAAATCAACCCAGAAACCCGGTACTTTGTGATTGTTTATTGGTAGCGTCCCATCGCTGCCAAAAATAGTTTTTTGGTAGTTGCGTCCTTGGTGACATCGTGAGGGCATGGTAAAGGCTGGTTACGATTTGGTGGCACATCGATTGAGTATTTCCATTCATCTGGCCATGTAAGTCAGTGGCGTATCTAGATGTGACCCTACCGCATATATAATGGCACTCGACCTCAACGGTTATTTATAATTGGCAGTAAGAAACCATTATAATGACCGTGACACGATAACACGTGTGCATTATATACATATAATGAGTTTCAAGTCCAAGCATTATATACATATAATGGTTTGCGACAGCTAGTATTTATATATAATGAAATGTAAAAGCAGTTTAATACATAAAACCATGGAGGTATAAAAATAGATTTTTTATACCTCCATGATAAAACTATGTCACAAATACGCATGCAAAAATGCACAGGGACACCAGGCTGTTTTTGTATTTTTCTTGAATCTGTATGCCTGATCACCATCATCATACACATTATAATAGATTCAAGTAAGATGTTTGAAATGATATAAAAATGTATGCAAACATGCCTTTGGAAGAGTTTTTTTTTTTTTTCGAGTTTTATTCACCTTAACGTCGACTCGGTCTTAGAAAGCACCAGGAATAATCACACCAGGATTAATCACCACTGAGGCTGTTTTTGTGTTTTTCTTGAAATCTCTATGCCTGATCACCAATCCATCATCATACACAGAATAAATTAAAGTAAGATGTTTAATGAAAATTCATCGTAGCCATTATTAATTATTATCATTACGGTCCCGGCGTCATTCCTTGAATCGGGACGGTACTTAAATTACTTTAGTTCACCGATGTACACATGACGTGGGTCATATCATGTAAAAGATAATTATTTGCCCTGAATTATAATTTGTATTTTTAATGTATTACTAGAGATATGTCCCTGCATTCAACAATTATGTGGATATTCATTGTACTGTTATTTACTCAACTATTGCCCCGGCGTCACTAATTTTTTAATTGATTTAATATGCTGAATCATATTAATGGTATATACCTATATATAGGCTAGGCTAGACCTAATCAGTTATTGATACCATAATGTCATCTATCGACAAAAACATCGATTCGATTAATTAACAGCAGGTTTTCGCACTGCGGCAGTGCCGATAGAAAACATCAGCTTCCTACGATGTCATTATTTATATATAATGGCACTCGACCTCAACGGTTATTTATAATTGGCAGTAAGAAACCATTAATGACCTTGACACGATAACACGTGTGCATTATATACATTAATGAGTTTGAAGTCCAAGCATTATATACATTTAATGGTTTTGCGACAGCTATTATTTATATATATAATGAAATGTAAAAGCAGTTATTTATATGAGTTTGGAGTCAATTCGTTATTTATATATAATGAAATCAGTGAACTTATATATAAATAACTGTAAGTTACTTTTCATTATTTTATATAATGATTTGTTACCTTTTCATTATTTATATATAATGGAATCAGTGAACTTATATATAAATAATTGTAAGTTACTTTTCATTATTTATATATAATGATGTGTTACCCTTTCCTGGGCCTTATTTATATATAATGAAACCAGTAACCTTATTTTATACACATAATGTTTGGTTACCCTTTCATTATTTATATATAATGAAATCAGTATACTAATTATATGTAATGAAAATGTTAATGCAATTATTTACATATAATCTTTTAGACGTAAATGCATTATATATAAATAATGGGTGATCTACACAATTATATGTTAAATAATGAATTATATATACATAATTGTGTTAAATAATAAATTTACACTTGGCATACATTTGAAGTGTAATTGCTTAATTAAGTTAAATATACGGAATGAAGGGACATGTGCGTATTGTTTGTATGTGTCTTCTACATGTGTACTGGTTTATTTTGTTTTAAATGATAAAAATATATTTTAAGTAATAAGCTACCAGCAAAGAACACAATTCACTCATAATTTTTAGTGCAATTTTTATTCACACTATAAAACGAATCGATTTATAATAGATAACACATCTTGAAAACATACAAATAAGTATGTAAATGAAATATTTACAGCAATGTGTCCAAAAGTCAAAGTATTCATTTGTCTTCTACATATGTACTGGTCTGTTTCATTTAGTTTTAAATAATAAAAATATATCTTAAGTAATATTAAGCTGCCAGCCACAAAGAACACAATTATACCTCATAATTTAGTGCAATTTTTATTCACACTAAAATTAATCGATAGATAAGACATCTTCAAAATATACAAATAAGTATGTAAATTAAACACTACAGCAATGTCTCCAAAAGTCAAAGCTCTTCAATACATTCATGTTGTTAATTAGATGAACTGTGGCATAACAATGGAGCCGGGGGCCTTGTGACTTTCTGAAACTGGGAGGGGGGGCCCTTTTTGAGTCCCAGTCACCAATTCCATCGTGGAATTTTAGATGTGCTCTTTTTTTAATGATGTTTGCATTGCCATTCTAAATACTTTTAATGACGAATAAATAATATAATATCAGTGGAGGATCCAGGTATTTGAAATAAAGGGGCCAGGGAGGGACTTCCACAGTTCAGTTTGAGAGTCTATGCCACCTCAGCCCCACAATAGTTGGGGCTGAGATAAGAAAATTTATGATTATTGCATGCCTAGATGGTGGAAATGATACTCACAGATACAAAATTGTGAATATAATCTTCTTTTTATCTCCATTTAAAAATAATGTTTTGAGAAATTGAGTGGGGCTCCAGGCCGGCAGCCCCCCACCCCCCACCCTTTATTCCACCACTGGATATAATATGATATGTCCTACAGCCGATTTCAGAGACACATTATGCTGTTGATAAAGAATGTATATCAAATAATGTATCTATAACAGCATATTGATCAAAACATTAGTTAATTACATTTAGGAAAAATGCCGAAAATTCTGCAATTTTTAAGAAAGTTTATGTTTATGCCTGCTTTCTTTCTCCAACCTCAGGAAATCTGTATTGATTTCTTTCTGGTCTGATCCTATTAAATGTATTTTTGTTGCTCTTAAATTCGTCTTTATTTTACTTTCTGTTTGGAGGTTTGGCTGTATTATACATGCCTTTACATGGACCAGTATGGTCACAAAGCAAGACCTTAGACTGAGAAAGTCAGCAAGAAGGTGGAAAAAGCAGATGCAGACATAAACTCTCCTAAAAATTAGTTAATTACTAATGATAATAATATGAGTACAGAACATTGATTATCGCAGACATTATGACAATTAGTCCAGATTCAATGCCGTCATATCTCGCAAAAGCTCAACCTCTCGTGATCCTTGATGACAAAGCTCATCACTCAGCCGCCAGACACGAACAGTGCCCTCGCTATCACCACATGCTAATAATGATTGCCTGCAAGAAATAAAAAGAAATGTTAACAATAAAATTCTTTTCAGAGGTATCTATGCTTCAATTGTAATCACATATATCAGGCATTATCTACTTTTTATTTTCATTTGTACTATTTTTTCAATTTTAATTTATTTGTAGCTCAGAACATGACAATTACCAATAGTAGGAGATAAAACTGTTACGAGTCAGAGCTAATGGAAAATTTCCTATTTGTGTCAGATTCAGATTTTACAAATGTATTTACCCAGCTGTGAACACAAAGAACATTTCAAGAGCGATAATCACACTAAAAAACTGACCAATCAGGAATGCAAGCGTGTCTCGCCAACATTCAAGTAAACATATGTTTTACGCTGTAGTTTTTTTATAACCTTAGCAACAATTTCCAAGAGGTGGTCCTTAGCAGAACAATTCACTGATAGCGCAGTTATAATACTCAATTATAAATTATGTACAACACAGCCTACCTTATATGATTAAACTCCAGTGTGTAAACTGGTACACCCTTCTTATTTATCTCTAGGTTCAAAACTGGAGTAGCTTTACTCTTCTTTAAATCAAACAGGAGAAGCCTGCCCTCTGCAGTTCCAACAGCAAACACAAGAGGACGAACTGGAGACCATCGTGCTGAGAATAAATAGCTATCACCTGGTTCACAGACCACAATGGGCTGAGACTGAAAAAAAATCCAGAAAACAAAAGCTGGAATTAGAACACTCTTTTATTTTATGCACTACACAAATCCCTAACCAGTATCATTATCATTTAATGTTTAAAACAAAAATAGGATCAGGTATTCAGACATAATGATCACTAATTATAACTGAAATAAAACATTAAAATATGCCTATACATTAGTTGTAATTAGGCTAATTATAGGAAGGTTTCGCATGCGAACGCATAGGGTTAGTGTAATGTATACATAATCATTTATGACGTCATTATACGCCGGTTGCTATCCACTAACCATGTGGATGAAACGCATATCTCACTCACTACCCGTAGGAAAATTTTTCATATGTAGTACGATCTTGTGTGAAGCCATAAAAACCCTGACTTTGAAGAGGCCCGTTAGAGGGCCTCCAACACTTGAGAATTACATAGTACTGTATTAGTATGGTGTGTTGTGTTGTATGCTAATAACAGTTAAAATTCGAGCGGATTTTTTTTTTTTTAATCTTTCGCTTAAATTTATATGACGTCATCACCTTTATTTTACGTTCGTAAAATCGGGAATTCGTTAAATCTGGGTTCGTAAATGAGGGTTTCTACTGTAATAAGAAGTGTTAGTACGTTACCTCAAGTAAAGAGTGTATCCTGGCACATGCATCAGAGCTGCACGACAGAAACAAGTTGTGATGAAACGGTGAGCAATGCGTGCTGTACACTGGCCCTTGATGTGGATGGAATTTAAAAGTAATCGCAAGATTTGCTACAAGATCTTCACCTTTTTAAAATAAATATACAAGAATATCAATTGGATATAAAGCTCATTCAATGCCATGCCTCTAAAAAATAATATAATAGAAACTCTTTAGCCACAGTGATGGTGGGATTTAAGATGCAAATCACCTAACCATGACTAAAAACATAGCAGCTTACTAGTGATATTGTGATATGAGGCTCATTATATACCATGCCATAAAAAATGATTTAAAAAAAACTAGTCCCACCTTCAGTGAGATCCTCCGGCATATTGCACTTATACAAGCCTCCAGACTCACTGCCTATCACCATGCTTGTCTGGTCTTCCGGCCAGAAGGATAAACACGTCACTAGATAAAATGAACAATATCATTATATTGTGAAGACAGATACTGTAGCTGGATCTTAAGTCACAATGTTTTATATATCTCATTAAAGAAACATAAGTAATTGATAATAAAACATGTTATATATAATATGTTATATTTATATATTATGTCATACATGCTCATGCCATCAATTTCATGATCCTACATTCATCCAGCTACTGTATATCCACTGAAAATGCAAACATGCTGAGCTCACTGTCTTCTGTCAATATGAGAACAATAAATGTCTTGTTCCTATTTCATCATAGTAAAAAAAGTGATCAAGAGTCAGTCATGAGTCAGTACAGTGAACTGTGCTGCTACAGTAGTACTCACCTCCTAGGCTAGGCTCCTTGTCAGCAGACCCCAGACCCCTGTTTAGCCCCATTGAAAGCTTCCATCCTGCAGACAGCTTTAGCTGATCTTTACCCAGAACAAAGTCCCAAATCAATACCTTTCCTTCACTGCATACACTCATAATCTGCAAACACAGTACTAACATTATCATACTGATCAGAAATTTTACAGTTATAATATCAATAACACAGAGGTTCCAAGTTGGAAGAAGGCACTTTGTAACAATATCACTATATAAATGAGGATGAGAAGGAAGAGGTGGAAGAACAACCAATTATAATAATCGCAGTAATGTGTAAAACCTTTGCTTTAGTTTTGCTACGTGTATACTGATCAATCCAGACTAGGCTGCTGACTGCCTCTCGGTGGCTGTCCTCATCAAGGCTAGAGGAAGCCATGAGTGACTCACTTTTTCCTAGATCCCAAATCATGACATCACCTTAAAAACAAAAGCCAAAACACAGTTTGAGACAAAAAATTTTAACTAAGAATACAAACAAAAAATCATAATAGGAAAAACAATTATATCGTTCATTAAAGAACAAAAATGGTATGAATAGTTAATGGTAAACAACAGATGAAAAAAGTGGGAGAAAAACAAAATATTTACCACTAAAAGTTGCTCCAGCTATCCACGCAGGGTACCTGGGATGAAATGATAGCGTAGTCATGCAACTCTGAAAAATAATTATATGTAGTTCACAAATCCTTTGCACATTAAATGAATCAACTGAATTTACTAAAATTATCAAGGACATCCTCATCATTATCCTTGTTATGGATATTTACCTCAACATTAAGCTCATCATCTTCATAATTATGATTATCATCTTCATCGTAATTACAGTTGAACCTGCCTGGTTCAACTGGCCGTTGAAAAATTGTTTGATATATTTGTTCGATAAAATTTGACTTACAGACCATTAATTAATGGAAAACTCAACAATTTGCCGTATAACATAAGATCAACTTGGAAATAATTTGAGTTAGGCAAAGTCGACTTAGGCAGGTTTAACTGTATTAATTATTCTTTCAGTTCATTTCACTAAGTTAAATACCTGATCGAGCAGGAATATTTTACTGTTCATCTTTTTAGAAGTGACCGTCATGTATAGCACTAAGTATACATTCACAATTGCATCCAAATAGGAGTGCCTATTACATCACAATTATCAAACCTCTACTCACTGAAACCTCGATGAATGTGCCTGGTTTGTCCTGTTTAACCTTTTGACGCTCAAGATTCCAGGTCAACAACAGACCCTGCAAAGAAAATACAATATGGATGGTGTAAAAGATCTATTATTTGCTACTATTTTCATTACACATGGAAATTCAGGTCTGAAAAGGTGTGTGCCCTACCTCCAACCACTGTTAAGCTATACTGTACAATGTACTGGAAAAATTTTATAAAGATGACTTTAATTTTTGAGGCACAAAGAATGTTTTGCCAGTGAAATTTAAAACTGGTTAATTATTTACAGCAGGGAGGTGATTACAAACAAATGTTCCATAGAAGAGTTTGCCATCGATCACCTCAATAACTAGGATGTACCTTGTGTTCACACCAGTCTTGATGATCTGTCATCCCATATGCAACAGCTATGGTTGAGCCAATAGCATTCCACGATAACGACGTACACTGAAGCTCCTTCACCAGGTCACAGGCTGTCAGTGTGAACATACAATTCAAATCAAGTTCTTCCACAACAGACGACACATCAAATCCTGCAAAAATAATGAATTTGATCAAAACTAATCAACAGAACTGGGATGCAGAAAATGGGGCTGGGAGATCAACTGGAAAAACACTGTTCATAAAACAGGGAAATGACAGGACAATACACTGTGAAAATGGTTAAAAACGACACTGGGAATAAGCTGGAAAATACATTGGAAATTAGGTTATGAAATACACTAGGATCATCGTTAGAAAACTGCAGAATATACACTAACAATATAGTTAGAAAGTGCATTAGGAGAATAAGTTGTTGATATTGCAACAATATTAGACTTAATTCCAGTCCCTAAATTTTGTCTTTATTAGTGAAAACAATAAAATACTATATAAATCGATTTTGGCACCAATGGCGTTCCATATTACTTCTTTACACCAATGGCATTCCATACTATACTACAAGAATACTTAAAACATCTTCTAGTAATGACAATATAAATAGTAACTGAAATTGGGCTTTGATAAGGAGGCCTTGTCTCCTCTTAGATTTGTCACTGATTGAGATAAAATGTCTGAAAGTTAAAAAAAGTTACCATCGAATGCATGACTTCGGTGAGTTTTATCAAGGTAGTCAATCACATCTGGCTCCACACGTTTCAAAAATGTTAACAGCGACTGAATCGAGACAAACAAAAATATTCTTAGGGAAGTAAGAAAAATATCTTTAAAAAAAACTAAAGGAAAAATGAATATTACAGACAGAAATGTCATGTCATATGCTGACCCCAACCTACCCCATCCCATGAGCACGAGAGGAGCTGCACACCAGACTGTACAGTAAGGCCTGTGCAGGGAATATATCCTCCGCGCAAAAATTAGGCCTAGAAATCTGTCCGCGCATTTCAGAATATAAGGGCTGATTTCTGCACAGATTCTGCCGAAAATTAGGCTTTAACTTAATCTATAACCAATGTATTATGCAGTAGTTATGATTCTGCACAACTACTGTGTTTTCCTAGCAATTTTCCACGCAAATTTGAGCTAATTTTTGAGGTATCATCTATAAAAAATTCAATCTAAAAAAATTAAAAACCTATTTCATATGTTTCAATTGATGTTGAAAATAAGAATTTAAATTTTTATTTAACCAATAAAAATATATTTTTCATATTACCAACTAGAGATGTTTTCCTTCTATTCAAAAAATATTACAAAGCTTATTCGTATTTTGTATTTAATATATTATATTAGTGGATTCGGCGAGACTTTCTTATTCCCTGTTTAGTGTACTTATTTTTCTAAAGATCATCGGGGGAGGGCAGAATAAAAATAAAAATAAAATTTTTTAAATTATTTAGCAAACAGTTTTACCAAAAACATCCAGATAGAGGAGAAAATAAAAATAATAATTTTATTAGTAAATGTAAAATCAGATGGTTAAATGCTTCAAATTTATATAATTAGAAAGAAATATACATATCTCACCTTTGGAGATTTCAAGGAGGGTGTAATAAAAATAAAGAAAAACTTTTTTTTTAATTTTCAGAAATTTCTATTTTTTCATGGGCAGGGGCACTAATTTGCCAAAAATAATTTTATTTTCAAAATCATAAAATTTTGGATTCGCCGGGTTCACTAAACAAGGTATAAAAAAGTCTTGCCTAAGGATAAATAACTCAAGATTGTAGATCTATGGTGGGCTGTACGCACCACAGGGTCAAAGTCAGGGGTGTTTGAAAAATCTGGACTTGTATCCTCTGTCTGGATATCCGCATCTGATTTAGAAACAGACTGAGATGCTTCCTCCTCGGTTTCCACCTTCTTAGTTTGCGTTGTTGAATTATGAAGGTTTCTACGGTATAAAGAAATATCGTTTCAAATCAAATATAAAAAGTAACCCGCAAAACATTAATCCTGTCTATCAATTATTATTATCATTATTAATATTTTCATCTTATTGATATGTTTGGTGTGTATCGCATATATCAGAATTACTACAATAAAATTATGTGCAGTTAGGCCCTATAAAAAATATTATCCTATCCCTATCTGGGTAGGAAAAGCGATGAGGGAAGAGGCTTTTTTTAAAATTTTTTATATTGCTAAAGCCAAATATCACCCTTGGGTTGTTTGCTGGTGCATTGATATTTAAAATAAAACATGATTTAGATAATGCAAACAATATCTACTAACTATTTAATAAAATAAATGAGAAAAAAAAAAAAATAATTTTTTTTTTTTTCAGTACCATAGAACACATGGTGCGGGGGTGATAAACTAATAATTTTTTTTATTGGGCCTTACGTGCAGTTTGTCGCATTTGTGCAAATTTATATAAACATGTTGAATAATTTCAAAAATGGTGATAACATGTTTCATGTATTTATTATATATTAATTATTTTAGGTATTAAAATATCGATAGGGGCAGCAGTTATTTTAGTTGTTCACTAAACATTGACTGTTTTAAAAAGGCCCTAAAGACTTACCTCATGCAATATGCTTAACTTACATTTTCATCAACAGGCATCTTAAGCAAAATGACATTATTATTATTATTATTATTATTATTATTATTATTATTATTATTATTATTATTAAGCACTTTGAGGCTGGTTATTTCTTGCTTTATGTGCTTTGTAAAATTCTTATTATCATTACTATTGTTTTAATGTGAAAATAACAAAGATGACCTGTCATTTTGAAATTTGAAATGGTAAAGCATATGCTGGGACCATAGAGTTATAAATTCAAAATAATTACAATTTCATGCTGGGACTAACCAGCACAGCACACGATTTCAACTCTCTACAAAGACGACTTCCTTGTGCAGTATTTAAAAAAATACGCAAATCTGACAAATTAAAAATTGCGAATGTCTCACCTTTCCCTTTTCCAGCATGACTTGAACTCCACTCCATCCAAAGCTTCATCTACAAATTTCGCCATTTTATCAGACTTAAAATAATTATTACCTTTTAAATACTTTTTTACTTTTGACCAGGCCTTGGGATGAATGCTGCTGATTACCAATCTGGAAGATTAGCTAGGCCTAGCTGTTGCTATCCCACCACCACAGGAACCCAAATCCAGGGACCAGTCGTAGTCTGGTGAGTGAGTGGCAAAGGCCGAGTCGCCTCACTCAAGCCAAGAAGGAGGCCTAGCTTTATCCCTGCTGTTTGTAACTATTGATACTAAGGAAGCATAAGACAGCACCTGAATGTGATTCGCCCACAACTATATAATTAACTGGGGAAATCTTCTGTCAACCTAAACAGTTGAAATAAAAGGCATTTGTTTGCTAATTAATAGTAATACCGTAACTAATGTAAACGACCCGGTCACATGTACAAACAAATATCTCAGCAATCGACCGTCGGTGGCAGCAAACATTATTTATTTGAAAAATCTTCAGTTCGTATTTTATTATTTCCTAAAAGCGTTCGATACAATTATAGATCACACGATTCTAAACTGAGTTATGCGTTAGAGTTAAACATAGCTTCTCAAATAATTTTCTTGATTTGACTTACATTAATAACAATTATGGAGTGTTTCAATTGGTAAAGCAAAAATGTTCTTGATTTAACTTACATTAGTTTTGGAGAGTTTCAATTGGTGTATAAAGCAAAAATTGACAATCAATATTGAAAAAAAACCCCCCCAAATTATATCATTTCTTAAGGAAGTTAAGATAAGAGAAATCTCCTTTGCGGTCACCTTGCCTCCTATTACCATGTGTTTGCTTGATTTATCTTGTATTTGTTTTTGAAATTTGGCAACAAATCTGAATAAGTGATTGCAGATTCTTAATATTACATTTGGGAAAAAGGGACGTAATAATTTTTTTAAAGCTTTTCCCCCATTTTTGAAGTATTCAAATTCTGCAGGAATTTAATTGAGTAAGATTTTTTTCATTTTTTTTTTTTTTAAATACAATTTCACACGGAGGCTCCTCACCAAAAGGCACAGCCTTAGCATCCTCCAAACTAATACTACAATTTGCAGTATGAATTTTGTGTGTGGTGCAAACCCACAGATACAGCATGGACCTATATATATTTGCCAAAATTATGCTTAGCACAAATGCTAGATGCTAATAGCTATGCCCGGATCCGCTTCTATACATGGATGGTAAAGATGATTGCCAACAATTGCCAATTGGGGCACCATAGAGGGCGATATACGCCTCGCGGACGAAACTCTTGATTCCTATGATGTTCAATGAACCAGAACACACGCTGTTACTGGACTGTCAAAGGCGGCTGGGCCTGACAGTCAGTACTGTACGCGAATTTTAAAATGATCTAAACAAGTGAAGTGCAGAAATTCGGCAAATAGGGTTAGAATAGTTTAGGTAAGACATTTATTAAGAATAAGTGTACGAAATCGTTGTCATGTCATATCATATCCTAACGGTAAGAAAAGGAACAGACATATATAGCCTAAGCCTCTGAGTAAATTATTATACTTTTGTTCCAAGTGGAGACCACCCGTGTGTGCTTCACATGGTGTGTGCTTTCTGTGGTGGGTAATCAAAAAACGAAGCTCATCATGCGCTGGCATTTTCCCTACAAACACACCAACACACGAGAAAGATTATTTAGATAGATCACGCGATGTCCTCTTAATTGTATTCCAGAAAACATTAAATCTGTGAGGAGCTTATTTATTTATTCAGTTCCTTTATTCAGTTAGGTCAGGATAGTTGAGGGCTTCAGGGTCAGGGGTCCGCCAAGTTGGAAAAAGTCGAAGGGGTGTGGAGTGGGGGAGGGGGAGTGGCAGGTGCAGGGAGGCCTTTCATAGAGAAGGGTCTAGGCCTAGACTATGTCAGTCCCACTATGGTTGGAGCTGAGGTGGGAATATTTGTGATTGTGGCGAGGGTGCGGGATGCCTGCAAGGTGGTGGGGAAGGCATATATGTGTGACATGGCCCACATCAGATCTGGTGGAGTTCAGTTGAGCAAGCTTAAAACATATTTTTCCTTTTTACTCCAAAGAATATACCAAGTCTCGCGCATAATGCAAATGAGCATCATCTTTTTACGTCTCAAGTACATCTGCGTTATACTGTAATTATCTCGCATACCAAAACATGTTTACAAAAACATAAAATGTATATACTGTAGGCCTAGGCTAATTAGTGATTATACCAAACAATTCATAAAAATTTGAATATTAGGCCATAAATTTCTTTTAATGAAGCTAATACTGACCAAGGACTGTAATTCATTAACTTACAGGCTGCTTTATTTTGCGATTATTACCTATTTGAGGATGCTATATTGAGTGCTATATTCATAAAATTTTGTCTCACGCATCAGACACCAACAAAGGTTTAAGAGTCATTAATGGATGATTGGCAACTCCTTCAGCTGGCATAAGCTTCCCTAACCCCTGCTACAATGACATTATATGGGGGTGGGGACTGCATGCTGTGCTCCTCCAATAACTCCCTGAAATTTAAAAATCACACTCACCACCACCATGTTTTACCAGCTATCCCCTCCACTTTTAATTTACCATGTTAATTTTCCTATGTCAACAGCCCTGTTGTTTGGTGCCGGCATCGCTCTTGGCACAGTTACCCTGATTAGTCTGTGAGAATTATTATTTAACTTAAGGTACAAAGCCCTCACATTGTCATTTTCCTTAAATACACCTGCGCGATATAATTTTTTTTTGTCTCGCGCATCAGATGCGGCCTACAAAGTTGGCAGGTTTACAAAATGTCAGCATCATTTTTGCACTATTTTCCATCATTTGTATTCTATTCCTTGTGAATTGCTCAGATGGAATTAATTTCTAAATTTGTTTTCTCCTCAAGGGTTTTTAGTCATATGATGCTGCCTGTAGGCACAAGAGCATTTTGTCTATATGAGCTAAGATGAACCAGAACTTGTGTATGTAGTTTCCCCTGCTGTATTTGAATGATGTCTTGAATTTTTTTTGGGGGTACTGTAGGGGAGGGTCTTAACTTGATGGCACTGTTTCATTTTCTCCCATTATCACAAGTGTCCATCTTTGTGCGACTCAACAGAAAAAATGGTGTTAAAGGGGACAAGTAACTTTGGGTTTTTTTTTTCTTGTCATTCTCAAATCTAATTTTTCAGACAATTTGTCAGTGTGTATAATGGAAAAAGGTAAAAAAAGAATTATCAAATATGAAAGTCAGCAAAAAATGTATACGTGCCAAGAATGATAAGAAATCTTATGGGATCTGGCTGAGGAGCAGAAAAGCTGAATGTAGCTCTACAGGGCAAAAGTTAAACATAGACCTACAACATCTATCGAACAGAGGAAATCCTGTAGTAACTCTCAACTCCAGTCAAGTGAAAAATCAACTAGCAGTTGCTGAGAGCCCCAAAATTGATGAAAATGAGTCTACTTGTGTTAACGAGCATGAATGTTGGATTGTTGCCAGCAAAGAGTCAACAAAATCTGACTTAAAGCTATGTCTTCAAAAGACCAGCACTTCTCATAGTGAAACCGTCATAGCAACATCACAGTCAACTCAGCTGCAACAGAGTAAAAATGGAAGCACTGGGCAAGGAGTTGAACCTTGCCAGGCTGGTTGTGATGTGCAGTGCAAACAAATCACTCTTAGAAGTGCTACCCAGCAACGAGGAATCAAAAGGAAGAAACAAAAGCTGTCTTACAGGAAAACACAAAGGCAAAAGAAGATGAAAAATGGAATGGCCAAAAATAAAAATTTGTCCCCAGAAGTAAAAGACCTGCTCACAACACAAGAAAAATTAAATGAGAAAGGCTCGATTCGTAAGAAGAAAATCATCACTAAAAGAAAATCTTCAACTGCAAAAGTTAAAGATGAAGAAGAATGTGCTATCGAAAGTATGCTTGGAGATGTATTTATTGCAGAACCTGACAATATCTCAAGCAGCAGTGTTTTAATTAGAGATGTGTTGATGTATGACAAAGAAGAGGATGTACCAACTGTATCTGATAAAGTTGTTATAGAAAATAATTCCATGTGTCATGATGTTGAGCTGTTGCTACCGGAAAGTATTACGTATTTACAGAACCAATGCCCAAATGATACTGTTGGAAATGGTGATGAGAGTCAAGATTTAAAGTATGGAGACCTTTTGGGAAGCCCAAATTATGGAATTAAAGCATGTATTGATCATTCTATTGGAATATCTGACAATGTCCCTGCAGAAGAATGTGGTGAAAATGAGTATATTAGCAGCAACAGCACAGAGCATACAGAGTACCAGCTAAGCCATAGCTCATCTTGTAGAAGCACTTTTGAAGATACAAAACCTGCAGAGCCTAAGGAAAATGAAAGTGTCAGGGAAACATCTTCAATTACTGATACTTCTACAGGTAACCAAGTTGTCCTGCAAAATACTACCAGTGGTCTAGAGCTTGAATCCAATGAAAGTAGTAACCAGCAAGAAGACAAATATGATCAAATGATAGATTTAACTACTGCTCTTTTGAGTGGCGAAGACAACACAGTTACTGAAGATATTATATCATCTCAAAGCTCTGGTATAAAATATAGCCAGCCCAAAGTTCAGATGAACTGTGATTGCTTAGGAAATGTTGTATTTACCAACATCATCATCTGTCCTTCAGATCTCTATATGCAAGGTGAGGAGATTACTTCCAATGATGAACTGCAATGCGGAGTTGGGATACAGTATGTACAATTGAACAAAGAGTTTAACACTAATATAAACAATGATCAACCAGTAGAAATTGCCAAAGGGAGACATAGTATTAGCGCTGTGAATGAAGTCCTTCGGGACGATACTGACTGCGGAAATGACCAGAACGATAATTCATTAGGCAAGACCTGTCAGCTTGTCATTGCTGAATCTGAAGGTATGGTACACACTAATAATCAGGAGAGTGAAAGCAGTAGTTGTGGGCAAACAGAGTTCATTACAAGTGGAAATAGTGTTGGAGCGGAAGACAAAAATATTGCTAAAATAAGAGAGATGACATGTGTTGTTAAGTTATTTCGTGGAAATTACCAAATGCTGGGAGATGATGCTGATGATGCATCTGAGAAAGTAGATTCTAAATCTGAACAAAGCAGTTGTCAATCTGAAACAGTTGCTGAAGATGAGCCTAGTGTGGAACAATGTTTGGAAAATAGATGTGAGGATCCAAGTGGAACTCATGAAGAAAACACAGTAAATGATTCTTCAAAGACCATGGAAGAAAACTCGCCTGAAGAATCTGAAGCTGAGATTTTCGCAAAACCTACCTCAACCTTGTACAGTTTTTCTCTTTTACAAGAGTACAGCTCAGGTGAAAGTGACAATGAACTTTCCCCAGAAGCAGCTACAGATGATAGTGTTCATTGTGATGGTAATTGTGGTGGTGTTGATATTCAACCAATGGACCCTACAGAAGACAGATGTGCCAATAACTATGAGAATGAAGGAAAAGATGTAAAAGTTGATGATCTTGAAGACCTTGACAAACTTTCTGTCCATTGTGAATCAAGTGATTTGTTTTCATCAGATGATGAAAGTTCCTCAGATAGGTAAGTAGTATTCTGTAATTTCTTGTGTATTTATTCAAGGATTTTTGTTACCAGGATAGGAAGCTGGCTGGTTTAAGCCATTAACTTAAATTAGCCTTATGTGTGGCATTGTTATGCTAATGAGGCAGGTAAGCACAATCTGCACATGCTCAGAAAAACAACAAAACTTTCCTTAGCCACACTGCGTATCGGCTAGGCGTACAGCTAGGCCTAGCTGAGAATTACGGTACGGTAAAACAAAGCAAAATAAGGGTACTAATTTCACTTGGCACGCAAATCAATCATACTTACACACTTAAAAACAAACTGATCTACCAATAAAATCACCTGCTAGTTAAGATATAGGCAAGTATGTTCACAAATTTGATTTTAAATTGATGTGATTTTGTTTTGTAGTATTATGAATATCACGTAAAGTTTTGTTTTTCTGAGCATGTGCAGATTGTGCTTATCTCCCTCATTAGCATAACAATGCCACACATAAGGTTAATTCAAGTTATAGACAGCTTAAACCAGCCAGCTTCTATCCTGGTAACAGTTATAAGTCCTTGATTTATTGACAGCATTTGTATACCACATTTAATAATCAAATGATATAGTCAGTACTAATAAGTTGGTACAGTTTTAGATGAACGCATTTTGATTGTATAATTTAGAGAGACTCCAGTTAAAGGCCTTTCCACTATGAATTCTGAGAGTAATAATCAAAGAGAGCAACAGACAGCTGATGGAGAACAAATTCCTGTGCAAACACTACACAAGTCTCAAGATTATGCGAAGGACCCTCAACTGATCTCAAAAGTAAAACCAATGGTGAAACCTTTGAATAAGTCACCACTTAAGAGGAGAGTTGTTGAGGTCAGGTCCAGACACTATCCAAGCTTTCAGTCCTGTAAGGTAAACGATAGCTCTTTTAGAAGTTCAGTAATGAACCAAAACCCTTACAAGGCCCATATTTATCATAGAGAATATGCCAGTCCACAAATGAAGAAGCCACTGCTATCACTTTTTCAAACTTCTAGAAGTCCAGAGATTCAAAAAAGATGGAAAGGGAATTGGGAATCTCGTAGTTGTGATGGTTATAGAGTAAGTTGCAAAACTTTATAAATTTCAGTAATTTTTAATTTTTTTTATGTCACTAGCTGGAAGAATTCGAATATTTGATTGATAAAACACATCTGAGAATGATTGGACCAGAGTCACCGGCCATGAAGTTGCCATGAAATAATGTTGTTTTGTATTTATTTCCTTTAAATTTAACTTCCACATTTACAATAAGTAACCGTATTTTAAAATCAATATTTTTTGTGGTATTCCACCTTGCATATTCAATTGTTTTTTTTGTGAAAATAAGGTTTACAATTTTAAAACACCAAAGATGGTAGATATCATATTTCTATTTTTCACTTTGCCTTTATTTTTTAGAATGAATTCAAATCAAATCATCGTATAGTAGTCAACCGTGATCCTCATCAGTTGATTCTAAACTTGGTGAATAATGGTCTTTTAGTCCAAGCCTGGAGGGAGATCGTACATTATGGGCTGTGCCATGAAGTGGACACTCGGTGCCTGGAGGACATGGTGGTCAAAGGCTGCATGATGATGACAGACAATGCATGGCAGGTGAGATCGTGGTTGGTCATAATTACAGTAGAACCTTGATTTTACGTATGGTACGGGACCGGAGGGCGTACGTAAATCGGGGGATTTGTAAAATAGAGGTTGGATTAAAATTGTGGTAACCTTTGACCTAATACGTACATAACGCTCAATATATGTATGTATGAACGAACGATGTTACCTAGCTAGGCTAGACCTAGCCTCTAGGCCTACAAATAAAACCATGTGTTTAGTGTTTTTATTCATCACTTTACGATGTCACAAGTGTAAGGTATAACTTGGGAATTCCCCTTCATGCCTATTCTAAATAAAGCTGTCGTGTTGTCTGGGCCTGTTGAGACAAACTAACCCATGTGCACTGGGCGAGCCAACCAATTGGCGTTTGTGTACGTGAAACAGCAACCATGTGCTGTGCACTGGGCGAACCAACCAATTAGCGTTCGTGTACGAAACTATGCCTACTTAGCTTCGTGTAGAAAATTTGACCAGACAAGTTTTTCCATGGTTTACCACACGAAGCTAAGGAGGAAAGCAATTATTTTGAGCACCATCGGTAGTTTTTTAATCTCACTCAGTTCACGTGGTTTTAGATTATAACAACCCGGTATTAGACTCAATCAACATTGCTGTTTAATGAAAATATGTTGCATTATGGTTTGTTTATTGTTATAGTTTTTTTACTTATGGTTGCTCTGAAAAGGGCCATTTGTTTTGAATATTTTCTGGGTTTTTGATGACGTCATCGTAGATACGAGGCGTATGTAAAATCGAGGGTTCGTATGACTGGGGTACGTAAAAACAAGGTTCTACTGTATTTGACAATAGTTGTTTTGGTGTTTCCTGACAAAAATTTCATTGGTTTTTGTTTTGATATGTTGCACTTGGTTCTTAATAATGAAATAGTGTTGTTTGGTATGGTGCACCTTGGAATTTTATATGGTACGGTACACTTTTGAGTGAGTGCATTTTGGGATCCCTTTGATATGGTACACATGGTTGTCTAGTGAGGGTATATTAGATTCTGCCTTCAGTTCCATGCACTGAGATCTATCAGGAATTGTTCATTGTGGGGAAGACTTTGATATTATGCACTGGGTTCCCTTTTTTCAGATGGCAATGGAAATCCTGACAGAACTCAAGTACAATGTCAGCTGTAATCTGCCAATCCTGTGTTTCAAGTTGATAAAAAATTTATGTAACATGAAAGAAATGAATCGGTAAGTGACATGTTAGTTAAAGTTTATTGTCATAATTTTTAAAAATTTATGTACAGTAGTCACTTTGATCTGCTTCACTAACATGGTAGTGTTTTTAGGTTCAGATTATTTCATCTTAGAGTCTGTGCACAGTGTACGTTTATGTTTTCTCTTGATTGTGGAAGCGGTTTGGTGCAGCGGGAACGGTTTGGTTTCTCAACCTTGAGGTTGGGGTTTGAATCCCTCACTGTGCATTTCGCAGTGTCTTTGAGCAAGGTACTTTATCTGTGTTGCTTCTCTCCACTGATGAGTATAAATTTGGAAGCTGGTGGGTTGCCTGCTCCTGCACCAAGACAGCAGCAACACTAAGCATGTGGACCCAATGACAAGGGGAAAAAGTTACAGCGCTTTGTATCCATAAAGAAAGGCGCTATACAAATGACCAGATTAGATTAAAGTGATTAAAAGATAAAATTATAAGCATGTATTCTGCATTTTTCAGAGCAATGGTGATTTTTGATTATATACCCTTTCCACTAAATTGTTTGGTTCCAATGGAAATATTAGACCAGTTATTGGATGGCTTGATGTCAACCTCAAAATGGAAAGCCGCAAGAGATGTGGTTGGTCGACTTCTCTGCTCAGGGTTAAAGGTAACTACAGTGTAATAATTTGATGGTTAAGGTAAACCAACATTTTGCATTTTAAGTCAGTTTGATGACAACACTTGCACTCTGTTTGTAGCCACAGGATTACGTGTTGCAGAGAATTCTGAAAACATTTTACGATGACTCGGACAGTCAAGGCATTATTGAACTTCTTAGACTGGTAAGCTATTTATGTTTGAATATGTATGGTCATGATTATGAAACACTTAAATGCTTTTCTGATCTTGCCTCAAGAGAGCATAGGCATACATGTCAATTTTTCTTCCATGTCGATATATGATTTCTAATTACAGCTTCAAAAGTCTGCCATGCAGCGTGCACACCCAATATACCAGGATGCATTGCGGTTTTTACGAAGACTGCAACTAAACACAAGGTGTGATTATCATGATGACCCAGTACAAAGGTAAAACCACATAACAGCAACAAGGTGAACTGCGGCAAGGATTGAGATAACATGACTATGATAAACATACAAAAGATGTCAATGTTTTTCAAAATGCAGTAATCCCTTGGCCTCTACTAATAAACAGCATGTTAGAATTTGATCCTAATAGGAAGCCATTTAATTTTATTCGTCTGAGGAGTGAGAAAAAAAACATAAAGTACAGTACCTTATAGTTTGCCCAAGACCTGTAGCAAATCGACAGCTTTGGGTTCAGAACCCGAATCTGATAGATAAAATCTTTGATTAACGAACAATTTTGTAATTGATAGAATTTCTATCTCACTCTGTAATGTTGGTTTTGATTTATGAACTTTTCATGTTTTGCATATGTTTGATTGCTTAAGTTCAAAGCTGAAGAAACTCTTGGAGCCCCAGAACATTAAAGAGCTGATAAGTGCTATATGGGTAAGTACACTGTAGTTTCTGATTGTAATAAAAAATTTAAGAATTTATATATGACAGTGGCAGATGCAGGAATTTGATGGAGGGTCTAGCCCACTTCAGCCACACCATGGTTTGGGCTGAAATATTAAAGAAAAATTATGATTATGGCACTTCTAGATGGCAGGAAATGGCACCCTCTATTTTAATATAATTTTCTTTTTTTCTAAATTTTTCTTATAATTTACAACACATTTTGGGGGACCCAGATTATCTTCCCAACCCCCCCCCCCCCTAAATCTGACACTGTGTGGTGTCTGATAGTAATAAAATATTGAAGAAGTTTTAATGTTGGATTGGATTTATTCGGTGCAAACACCAATGATAACCCATGGAAGTCTGAAGATGAATTATTTCCAGTGGGGTCCTTCTGTTGGTGATTGGGCAGTAATCCCCTACTTTTTTCCAAAGAGTGTACTGCGTTCTTTAACATGCACATTGACTATTTAGCACAAGGGACCAATGGCTTAAACGTCTCATCCAAATGATGGTGTGCTATACAGGGCGAGCAGCGATGAAAATTGAACCAGAGATCTCCACGGTTCAGCGTATACACATTGGCTACCACCAGTTTAGCCGACTGCGCTAAGCTGCTCTCATTTTTATTGGTGTTGTATACTAGAGTGCTAATTATGTTGAAAGTTTGAAAAAATATATCATGCATACTTAATATATACCTTTGCTTCATGTGTTTTATTATATTACTGCTGATACAACCTTTTACCTGATTCTACCACCATTTGTAGGATTGTCCAAATGGCTTTCATTTAGGCCGGATGTGTACAACATTCTTTGAAGTATGGTCTGTAGAGGCCTCATGCTCATCAGCACTGCAGCAGGAAATCTGTGCGTATCTGACAAGAGGGCCTCAACTCCAGGCAGTAATGTTTGCAGACTTTATTCGTGAATTGGATAAAACACGCAAAATTTGTAAGTCGTTTTATTTTTTCCATGATGATTATAATGGTAGTAATAATAATAATAAACATGATGATGGTAAATAATAATTGTAATGGTAATAATCATGATATTAAGCAGTATTAGACTCGTCAACTTCAAGAGGTCCGACTGTGGTGGTTTTTTCGAAACGCAATCCTATTTTGAAATGCACTACCATCAACTAGAGAGCATCCTTCAAAAGATAATGAAGGTCGTTCATCAGTGGTAAGTTTTGAATGCATACTTGAGATTTGAACGCTATTGAAATTCTAAGAGGGCGCCCCCTATCTCAGGGTATTACTTTGTTTTTTTATTCATTGCGTGCAAATTTTATACTCATTGATAAAACAAAAAAAATAAGGATGGTTGTTCTTGATTGACATTGAATGTGCAGGTCCAGCATTTCGTGAAGCATGTACTGACCTCCTGAATGGTCTTCTACTAGAAGCGCTTGCTTTGGACAACAAAAAACTTGCACTGCGGATCATCTTTCCATCAATGGAATCGTACTTAATACCAATTTATGACAAGGGTTTAGCAAGTTTGACAGACCTCCAGTGGAATGCTGGGTCGGCAGCAAGAGCAACAGCAAGGCGTCTTTTTAATCTGCGGTGTCAGAATGGCTTTCTCGGTAGTCGCCACGTCCGACCATTTGAATTGTTAATTCAATCAACCTCATCCATTGCTGAGATATTCTTTACAATCGAGAAGTTTCTTTTCTCTCATAAACAATTGTACAACAAAAGAACGTATCATTACGACATTGTGAGAGTAGTTATTCTGCACGGACCAAGACCTAAAGGTTTTAATTTGACTGTCGAAATGGAGAATTGTATTCACAGGGTTAAACATGTTCTAGAAACTGCTTTTGAGCCACCATTGATAATTCTACGCATTTATCCATTCACAAACAAATCGCCTAAAGATGTACTCGTTGTGGCATACCATTCAATTCAAGATTGGTTGAAGCTGAAAGCAAATTCCTCAAAGCAAGATCCGTACCAATACTGCCCTATTCCCAGATACAGTGTGGCGGTTAAATAATCGGAGAAGTATTTTTTTATTTTAATAATTGTTTTAGGCCCAACCCTTTCTATTGTGTTTGCAAATTTTGAGGCATTTTATAAGGCAGTAATGCATGGTGTTCCAACAGCATCTCAAATAGAATATAGATTGTTAGGTTGTTTTCATTTTTGAAGTTATTAAAGTTAAAGAAAAGAAAAAAAGAAATAGTAATGAAGTTATATATTTTATATTTATTTAAAAAAAATACTATATAGAAATAATATGGAAGAATATTTATATTTAGTTTTACAAGAAACGGGTGTCAAATATTTAATTTGTTACTTTGATTATTTTTACTTTCAAGATAGTAATTTTCTTTATCATTTCATTCCATAGAAAATTTTTATAGAAGGAACCAAAGATATTTTTATGCAGTTCTTTTGTTTGTTTCACAATGTTACACCTTGTTTTTACCCATGTATTTAATTATGTTTTTGCATTTTGCTTATATAGCGTAACATTTAAAAAATTTTTTAAATATAAAAGAATATCTATTTTGTTTTCAAATTGTTATCTTTCATAGAAAATTTTAAGAGAAGGAACCAATGATATTTTTATGCAAACTTGTTCATTTGAAACACTTTTTTTTACCCATGTATCATGTTTTTGTATATTTGCTGATATATAGCCTAACAGTTTAACTATATAAAAGAATATGTATCTTGTTGTCAAAATGTTATAATTTTCATTTCATTTTATAGAAAACTCTAAGAGAAGCAACCTTTGATATTTTTATGCAATTATGTTCTTTATTTCACAATGCAAAATTGTTCATTTGAAACACCTTGTTTTACCCATGTATGTATTTATTCATGTTTTTGTATATTGCTTTCATAGAGCCTAACATTTGAACTATATAAAAATATGAAAGAGTATATATTTTGTTTTCAAAGAAACATATCTTTTGTTGCGACATACTTTCATTTAAGATTTTAAGAGAAGGAATCTATCATGTTATTTCTATGCAATTATATTTTTTTTGCAATGTTTTATGCACAATTTCTTATTACCCAAATGTACATGAAAAATATATGTATATGATCATGTTTTGGTATATTGCTTTATATAGCTTATGCATTCTGTAGAAGAATAGAATGTATTTTAAAGATTTATATGTTTTTAAAATTTATATATAAAATATGCCATAGCAGAATGATATCCACAGAATACATTGTTTTAATCTTTGACATTTTAATCCAAGCTCATCATTTGAACAAAATTCTTTCATGATGCATTCTGTTAGAGATTTTATGTTTTGAAATTGTTTTATAAAAATAATCAGAAGAAACAAAATTAAAGGTTCTTGTTGAATATATCTTGTAATTGATTCATTTTGTTAATACAGGTTTCCCTCTATTTAAAGACCACTTTTCTGTGGTCCCAAATGTCTTAATGTCTTATCATTCAAAGCTGCTAAAAACCATGGAAACCCCGGTCCCAAAAGTGGTCTTTAATTGGAGGGAGACCTGTATTCTATTACTAATCAAATAATAGGCCGATACCACACACACAAACACAAACTTTTCTATGCAATTTAACCTCCCACAAAGCAGATGAAATTGCAAAACAGATGAGCGAGCAATTGTAAAAGTAAAGGAAACTTTGAGAGAGGTAAATAGATTAGTCTTAATTAAAGAAAATGCTTCTTAAAACACCAAAAAGGCAGACCCATATGAACAGACTGGTCATTCTTCAGCAATATCAAAGGACCAAATAGTAAATAAATGTATCTTGAAATGAATTTATTTCCTCTTAGCCTTTCTATACGTCATCAGTCCACACTACAAGTCTTGTCTGACAGATGGATGTGATATAGTATTACACCCATATATGGTGTGAACAGATCAGTCCGTACACTTTCTGTGATATGCCCACGTAAGGGCATAATGTCATTACACTCATATACGAATATCCGAGTGGTTAAGGCAGGGGTGCTGGTTTGAAAGGCATGCTCGCCTATGGTTCTGGTGGTAGAACAAGTCTTCGATAAGGACTACAACCGTAGGCCCAGTGGCATATAAAGAACCCAGTACATCATTACATGGTACAGAAAGCCCCTGTGGTGGACAATGAGAGTTGCTGGTATTGAGTTTCCGGGTAGCACAGACAAGAAAGGACCCATATGGGCAATAAAGTACTTAATTGATCGAGCTACTAGTGCACATATCAAGCGCCATGAGCATCTTGTTTGACGGATACCAGTGCTATACAAATCTATACTATTATATTATCATATACTGGCATATTTTGGTCATATAAAAGACATCCTTATTTACTACCCCTTCGTATTTGGTTTACTCTGAAGGGGTATAATTCAAATATTTTACCCCATCCCTTCGTATTTGGTTTACTCTGAAGGGGTATTATTCAAATATTTCACCCCTTTATGTCTGTATTTGCAAGTTCTCTATGATGTAATTGGTAGTCGTACAGAACACCAGTATACAATGACGGGTAAATATACAGTAGCATAATTTTCAACAGAGGAACATTTCCTTAATATCTTTGGGAAGTGATTCAAAGCAAAATATGAAGAAAAATGCAGTTCTAACTTTGGATGACAGGATACATTAAGTGTTATGAAATTGACATCAAAATAAATGCAAATTAAAGACACTCAAAAAGTTTTGCAGATAATATTAAGAGAGCACAGTTTATTTACAGACTACCTTAATGGGTAAAAAAAAAATGATAAAAGCTTTATATCAAAATTGTAGTAACCAAGGGTTTCTATGGCTCAGTTGAACCTCATTTTCAAACCCCCCCTGCCACTTGACATCAAAAACTATCAAATGATGTTGGAATTCACCATTACATGATATACTACTCTTCCAGACACTTTTTCTCTTATCTGCCCAGCAAGTCTTCTTTCCCAGGCGAACGTCATCTTCTACCTCTCACTGGAAACCCATTAAAGAATACTGGTTATGGACCTAATTAGAAGGGGCAGATACAAGGGGGTGTGGACAGTGCGATCACACCCCCTAAATTTTTTAACGAAAAATAATTGTATTGTTAACATGAATTACCGGTAAGATTTTTAAGGTATGAGAAGGCAATTTCCAGGCACCTAGAAGTCCATATTCTCACCTCAGCCCCAACCAAGTTGGTATGCACGCACCCCCTACCTCCAAATAATGCCCCAGACTAGTAAAATAGATGCATCTCTAAAGCTATGTCCACACTATCACATTCTGTGACAAGTGTGTGATGTACCCATATATGGGCATGTCACAGTTATTGTTAATTGTCACAAAATTTGGCATGTGGATAAAACTTACTAACATTTACCAAGAACCATTAGTTTCAAACCAATTTTCAGACTTGAAAATTAAATATACTGTCTGTCTAAAGCTAAAAACTTACAAATAATATCCAATATTTGAATTATTTGGTATATAAAGTAGGGTATTAACTTTTTAGGTGAAAATTAGAAGAGAACTGTTTTATCGATAATAAAGCAAGCACAATGGATGTAAACAGTTCAGTGGTTGTTCCAGTGGGGGTGCAGGGAGGGCAACACCCACCCCAGTCAGGCCTGGACCACCCACCGTTGGACCAAAAATATGAATTTGCCTATCCAAAACTTCATTTTCATTGCCAATTCCTAATATTGTGGTCTAAAAGCACAATTTGGACCATACTAAGCCATAAAATCTCTCCATGAACCCTACCAAAAATTTTAGGGACCGTGATCAAGGCTCTAGTCAGCCCCTTGATTTGGACCCTGCTGTCGGATATATCAGACTCCTCATTGGCAAATGTCTGGAGCCACCACTGAATTGTTAGTAACAAATCTATAAATCATACCGTTCTGACAACTTCCCATATAACAACGTAGTGTAAATCAGCATAAACCAAACTGTCTCTCACTGGAAGTTACTCAAGTATTACAATGTTTTAATTGACATCATTTATAGTGAAAATTCTCCATCCCTCTGGAAGTTAGCAGACAAATTAAACTCTACATTGTCTCACTACACACTGATATTAATTAACTTGTACGAAGCTTGCCATCCTAAAATCAGCGTACTGTCACTAAATGTTCTACTGAGTAATATGGCAATATTGTATACTTTAGTACAGAGAAGCAAGCCCCATATATGCACTGCATTTATTTGATTAGAATTGGAGGGTTTTTTTATGCTTTTTGAATTTCATTTTGATTGACTATGACAAGCATAGTGGAGGTACTCAGATGCAACTCTTGTCTATACTAGCACCTACAGGTAAACGGTCTTACCTGGTGTCGCATACACATACAATACAAACGGGGAAATCCCCCTAAATAAATTGCATCTAAATTATTTCCCACATGCTTAACAACATATATTTTCTCAGGTCAAACTAGACCTAAAGGCCTTGTTCAGACTGTAAAATTATATTTGACAAAAACATGCGACATGCCTAAATATTGTCATGATGACATCACATCATGACCATATAAAGGCACATCATGACTATATATGGTCACACAACATTTTTTTTTGTCAAAGAAAATTTGATAGTGTGAATAAAACTTTAGAAGGGGCACACAAAATGTCTTCCTTTCAGGAAGCATTTTAGGAGCATTTAATAAAATATTCTATGATAAAATTACCAGGAGCCTGCCCAGCTTAAGGACCAATTCTCTTCAAATTATTTTCAAAAGATTACTGATTGTTTCCCATAACAGTACTTTTCCCATTACAATTAATATTATTTACCTCTTGATGTGCAACTGATTTTATTTGAGTTGTATTTAAAAATGTAAAACTCTAATTTACAAAAAAAGCAATTTGACATTAAAAACCCTTAAAAAACCATAAAGGATTACATGCATACCCATCCATGATTCCACAGCACTACCGCCATTAGCAGAAGATTAATTAAGCTTTCGTGGCTAGGAGAAAAAACTGATTCAACCAGCAATGTAGCAATTTAATTAATTATGAATATTCATATTCTATTCAAACACAGAATGAGCTCATTTATATAACAAATATTCAAAATCTATTGAATCACTAGTGTTTGAATGGGCTCATTAATATACAGTATGTTTATATTAATAAAATTGAATGTACCTTTGGCACTCTGCCAATAATTCATGCAAGTACAACACAAAATTACAAAAATCTTTGAATGCAGCTCATTGTTTTTGATACCTAAACTACTAAAAGTTAAGGTCTGTCCACATTATCGAGAGTATGATGCTCACAGCTTCATGGAAGAACACCTTGGAATTGTATTATGCCTGCCCATATATGGGCATGATACTGAAATATCACATCCATATATGGGCATGATAATGAGGTATCACACCCATATATGGGCATGATGAGGTATTACCCCATATATGGGCATAATGAGGTATCACATCCACATATGGGCATAATGAGTTATCACACCCACATATAGGCATGATAATGAGGTATACACTAATATATGGGCATGATACTGAGGTATCATATCCATATATGGGCAGGATAATAAGGTATCACACCCATATATGGGCATCATACTGAGGTATCAGACCCATATATGGGCATCATACTCAGGTATCACACCCATATGGGCATGATAATGAGGTATCACACCCATATATGGGCATGTTGCTGAAGAATCAGACACATATATGAGCAGATTACAGGAATTTGTTACATGAAATTTGAAAGTGTGAACAGAGCTTAACACAAGCTTTAATGCGCATACTCGTACATGTCACACTCTAGCATGCTATAGCATTACATATTTGGCATCATCAGAAAAACACGCTTACCATCTTCCAATTTATTATCCCAAGTCCATTCCCTCCTACAAAATATTTAAAGCTCCTCCCTTTAAACTGTCCCTGTTGAATAGAGCAGAACCCCTGGGGACACCATTGGAACTGTCCCTGTTGAATAGAGCAGAACCCCTGGGGACACCATTGGAACTGTCCCTGTTGAATAGAGCAGAACCCCTGGGGACACCATTAGAAACAAAATAAGTGTCTCACTGCACCCGATTTTCGTCGGCTTACGCGATTCTATGGAGAACGTAACGCTGTAACCTGTGCGAACGGATCGTTTTTAATGATGGTCTGTTCAGGCTGCCACCGACAATTAGCAGACAGCGTCACATGTCTAGCGCGTACAGGGAGCAGAGTACAACGCAATTGGTGTCCAGCTTAAGGGTTGGCCATAGTGTTAAAAGATATAATTTCCTTCATTTCCTGGCCAAAACATTGTCCCCTAGAAATGTCTCCTTAATAGGGATGTCCCCTTAATAAGGGTGTGTCCCAAAGAAAGGGGTTCTACTGTATATAGCTTGCCACACCCTATGTATTATCTCTACACTTTAAATTATATCCCTTTCTTAGCTCCTTAGTATAAACCAGCTCAGCACACTCACCTTTCCAACACTTAACCACTCCCTCACTCAAGTTTATAGCTTCCATCTGTAAACATCATCTTGTAAATTACACACACTTATTTGGCTTTATAATACCTAAACCTTTTTAGCACACCCTTCCTTGTACTAAACCATACCTACTTCCTCTATAATATTTCTTTTACAATTCAATAAATAAATATTAAAGTGGGCATGGCTAAAAAATTCACACAATGATCTGACAGGGACTGCAAAACTGTACATAAATATGATAAATATTATTTTTTAAATACTAAAATTAACTACACAGGGCACTACTCGTTTGAAAATCAATTGAAGAAAATATTAATGTAGTTCATTGTATATTTCTAGAGTTAATACCGACATCAAAAGTTACATACTGTACACACGGTACTGTTGCAGTCACATTGCTTGGTATTTCCTGGTAGAACTTCTCTGCAGAAGTGAACCATTCATACCTCAATACCAATGTAATTTTAAGGGCATGATATATATTGAAGTATCTATGAGAAAAGAAAAACCTTCGAGAGATTACACTTCTTTCAAGGGAAATCATTATAACCACAGATTTTGATTTCTAATAGTTCCCACAGTAGAATTTTTATTAAATTCCCTCAAATTGACACTTCTTTACCTTTAAGACGGACACTCACATACATCTCAGAGGTTCCAAGTCTCTGCGAGCCGTGGGAGACTCCCAGGGTTCATAATAGCCTTCCGCATTTCCGCAAGTAAGGCATTATCTGTTTCGTAGAGACTAACCAACCATAAATTTGATGTTTTTGCATCTTTTTACCAGTATTACCAATTGCTTCTCTGTAAGTCAACTGGTAATGGGCATCACCACATGCAACAAAAGGACAAATTAGATTTGTTATTAAACCAGATCTCCAGGAAGAAGTACCTTCCAACTTGGGACCCCTGTACAACCTGTTGTTGCGGTTGTAAAGTACCAAATAATTTCAGGTTACAGTACACCACCGAACAGTTAACTTACAGTAGTTGTGTTCTGCATGAAAGTGCATATGTTAAGGCATAATATAGGATGTTGTTATGGGAACGTGGCTGTTCTCCATCAGCTTGGTAACATCTTGTTGATGGTGTAAATGCTGAGGTATCATGACTTGAGTCTGAGGAATGACAGTCATGCTGGGGTGGTTCAGCATATGGGGAGGGGGACTCATCGTGTGCAGGGTTTGTTGGCCATGCACTGACAGCCCCATACCTGGTGATGTGGCCTGGTTTATGGACTGGGATGTAGGCGTTAGATTGTGAGGTGGCGGGGTCGGCGTCATCGCTACCTGACCAGCAGCCGATGCGTTGATCGACATTGACATGAGCGGTTGAAGAGATACAGTGGCGGATGATGTGAGGGAGTGTGGAGATGCAGTGACTGTAACCGGGCTTGGCATGTCCACCTGCGGAGCACTTGGTGGTAGGAAGCCTCCGTGTTGGATTTGAGCTGCTGTCAACTGCTGATTTGGATGCGTGTGGAATGGTGTCAAGCCCTGCATGGTCAGAAGGTGAGTAATATGCTGCAACGAAGATGTACTTATAGGATCCTGATTAAGCGTTACCGGTTCCGATACAACTGCAGGTGGAGGACTGAAACGAAAATTTGAAATATTTAAAACTAATTATATAAATATTTTCTTTTATAAATTACAATACAAATTTAACATCCACATCATGCTAATCAATCAACAGTATCACTACCATAATCACATCATTATGAAAAACAAATGAAACTGAATACAAATATTTTGATTAAGATATTTCCTCTCATACCTTCTACTACTTTCTTCATGGTTCTTCTCATGTATCTTAAGACTTCCCATGTGGCGAAACACAGCATTACACACTTTGCATTTGTAGGGTTGTTCCCCACTATGTATACGTTGATGACTTCTCAGGTTCTCTCTCCTATTAAATTGTGCGCCACACGTTTCACACTGGAAGGGTTTCTGACTACTGTGGATTTGCATGTGACGGTTCAAGTGTCCCGTTCGTTTGAAACTAGCACCGCACTTGTCACATTTATGTGGTTTGTCGTCATTATGTATCAATTGATGCGTCTTCAAGTCGCTCTGTGTCTTGAAATGGGAATGACAAATGTCGCATTTATGTGGTTTCTCTTCCACATGTACACGATTATGACTGCGCAAGTCGCTTTTGCGTTTAAACATTGCACCACACGTCTCACACTGATAGGGTCTTTCAGTGCTATGAACAACTTCATGGCTTTTTAAATACACGTACACGCTGAACTTTTTTCCACAAGTTTTACATTCATATGGCGTCTCTTTTTCGTGATTTGTAAGGATGTGTCTCCGGAGATTGATAGACTGAATGAAACGTTGATCACAAAATTGGCATACAAAAGGTTTCTCGCCAGTATGTGTGCGAATGTGAATCTTCAAAGCAGATGAATATCCGCAATTTCGACCACAATATGTGCACACGTAACGTTTGGGACCTTGGCTAAAATCTCGACGCTGATGGGACTTCATATGTCTTTCCATGTCTGCTGCAAATCTGAAGACCCTTGTACACTTTGTGCATCGAGAATGTGCTTCACCATAGTGTAAACGTAACTCACGTAATTTACTGTACTCAGTATTGCAAAACTTACAACAGTATATACGTTTGTCATTGTTCAGTTTGGCTGCAGCTTCCTTTTTCACTTTTAAAGCTCTCTGAACCTTCGCTACATTGATTGAACGACGCAATGGCTTTCGTCCACGTTTTTTACGCGGCGGTACCTTGGGTGGCTCCTCAAAAACTTGAGGCGGTTGTAATGGAGACTTAACCACCGGTATTTCAGATTCCTCTTCGTAAGTATCAGCAATGTCTGATGCATCTATATCTGAACTCATCGGTGATGGGGGATTGATGGCAACATCAACATCAATGATGTCAGCTTCTGGTGGTTGGTCAAGAATATCCGGCAATGTTTTTGACCTAAGGTTGACTGTTAATGGCAGTGGGAACTTTCTGCCTAGTTGGTTAGTAACTGAAAGAAAAAGAGTAATAATTAAAATAATATATGTACATTTTCTAAAAATATTGTTTTACATTGTTCCCTACATATAAGCCTACTCATACAATACAACTTAAAATTATATCATTTTATTTTTATCTTTCACATACAACAATATCTGTGCAATTGCTTGTACAGTACTCTTCTTTCTGCTCATATACTGTATGTAAGATACTAATGTATAAATAATTATTCGCATATTAATTATTTTTAGAGCAATAATAATTTAAAACATATTGATGTGTTTTCTGGCTCATTTCCTAATAAATTATAAGTTAATAAAAAATTTAATCCTACCGTCGTTTAATTCATTCATGGGTTCCTCGTACACTTGTGGATTCTGCTTGTATGTTTGTGACAATTCAATCAGACGTTCACACATCATACGATTGGCTTGTCGTTTGATCTCAGCTAGGCCATAAGTTTCTGCAATAGTGATAACATCCACACAGTTATCTGCAGTCAGCTGAGACTTGAGGAACTCGCAGCAGGCTTCCATTACGGATGATGCTTTCAGGACTACAGCAGCGGATAAGACATCCTGCACTACTTCCATGGAAAGTGAGAGGCGGGATGTGTAAGCGAAATCGAGGAAGAGCTGGAATCCGGTTAGATTTATATTGCTGAGCTCCAAAACCTACAGTAAGAAAGATAAGTCAGAATCCATCGGGTAATAACCCATTTAGAGTGACACCAACATAGCCACAATTCAAAAACCAAGCTCCATAATTCACCATATTTGTCATAAAAAATTCTAATATAGTTACTTTTCATAAAATTTGTTAACAATCTTTCTATTATGAGATTACATTTCAATTACTTTACAATCTGTACATTTCTAAACACCACATTGATGGTTTGTTCAAGAAGCCCAACAGACTGATAACTGCCAGGAACTTAAGATGATCAACAGCTGCAATGGCAATGAGTGTCTCCTTCTACGATGACAATCGTGAGCTTTCGATTGCACAACGGTAGGATGTAGAATGTAATGACATCACTAAAAGTCATCTGCACATGCGAGAACGTTAAGTTCTCCTAGTCGTGTGGATTATAAGATGCAACTTCGCCAAATCTACGTATGCAGAGGATATAGGACGCCGGTAGAATGGTTACGCATGAGTGATTCTGCTCTAGCGCTGTGTCGTCGAACAAATCAAAAGCATGAGTGTATATTTTGCAAAGGTGGGTGTCAACCTTTAATGTTGGTATTATCATTTTCTATATTGTTTTGTTATCAGTATGTACCCTAAATTGAAATAACATTTTCATGTATTTCCAAATAAATTACATTCAAACAAATTAAGCAATTATTTTACTGACCTGTTGTGGATTTTCAGGTTTCTGGACAGCAAAGAAGTTTCTGAAATAGTCACTGCAAGCAATAAGTACTGGTTTGTGAGCCCTGAACACCTCATTGGACACGGCAATGGTGATGTCAGTCAAATCTGGACTATTTCGACAATTATTGAGCGTGTGTAAAACTTGCTGGCCGTGAGCGCTGAACTCATACATGAAGCTGCCATCACCTTGGCGTGTGATCTGAAGGGAGCTGGCTGCAGGATTTGCTGTCATATTTGCAGCTCTTTTTGCTCACTGTGGACTAAAGAAATACACACAAAAAAATAAGTAAATATCAAATCTATGACGTAGATTAGTGTAGCTGTAGCTTAGTGGTTAAGACGCTTGCCTTCAAATCCGAGGGTCCTAGGATCAATAGACCTTTCCAGAGTGTCAATCAAACTTAACAACTGACTAATCAGAACAAAGCTAGGAATACGCGCGCGTCTCACACACACACGTGTTTTCCCACAAACGCACGTGTTTGCGTATGTTTTAACATTGTCGTCTTGTGGGACCTTAGCAACAATATCCAATGGGCGGGGCTTAGCGGAAAGGTCCATTCTTGTCAATGTTACTGGATTTTTTTCTCACTTCCAAATAAACTCTACTCCTTTATAGAGTCTTATAGATTTATTTTGCGTAGAGCATCTTGTCTGTGTGTTTGTCTCATGAAAGGGATTGCCACCTCACCTGTCTTATCTATTCATAAATTATAATAAGTACGACAGTGATTAAGTATGTTATTATTGCTATTTTAAAGTGCTGGTATGGGAAACAACACAAACATAACCATACAAACAACAGACTTTATAGAAAGGCCTGCACAGGCAATATATCCTCCGTGCAAAAATTTGGCCAGGAAATCCGTTCAAGCATTTGGGAAAATAAAATATCGGCCGATTTAAAAATTGGAAATGTTCATACAAGTAAAAATAAAATTGTTAAAACACCATTTGCCTTTACTGAGAGAATATTTTTCACGAACTAACAGTAAACCCTGAGTAAACAAAGCAGGGTCTAGACCTAGTTAGGCCCTAGTTATTACTGAGGTATATTCCTACCCAGACCGGGAAATGGTCGGTAGTTCGTGCGGGCTAGACTACAAAAAACACTGGTTTGGCGAGGCCTAGCCTAGGCTGGCCTATCTTCAGAATCATTTTATTTATCCGATTCTGTGATACCGTAAGAGGATATGTTTAGTATGTCGTCGTACCCTAAACAAGAAACCTCGACCGACCCCTTCGTGATATAAACAACAACAACAAGGACCTTATGTACATATCACTGTATATTCTTTTTCTATGCTTCACACTCATTGACTGTGTTTTGATAAGACATGTTAGACACCGTGTAGACTAATCATCCATTATTTTGGGTTTGCTTTTTACAGGGATACACCCTCATGATTCACCCCCTGCAAAGAATCGTCAGCGTAAATACTAACGCATTTCTATCCTATTTTTACAATAATTCGAGTAAAATATAAATTCAATCTGTAAAAAATAAAATGATGAATTTATTTTTTCAGTTGAAAAAACTTAAAATACCTACTTTTGCTTTGATTTCATCAGAAATATCTGGCTATTTAACCCGAAAAATTCCACACAATCGAATGAGAAATAAGAGATCCCTGGATGAACAATTGCATGATGGGAATGTCTACTGGCTTTTTTAATTGAAAACAACATAATTTATTATGTGATTTTTGGAATTAAGAAATAAAATTAAATTCTCCACAAATCAGAATTAAAATATAATTTTATTCATAAACTATTATATTATCGAAATAAGGTGTAATTTTTAATGTTTTATTTTTGTTTTAAAATCTATTTCTAAAACAGTAAATGCCAATTGTGTAGCAGACGAAAAGGATAACGTTTTCGTAAAAAACAAAGACTGAGGAGATTTAAAAAAATATATTTCACTCATTCAAGAGGAAGAAATAAATTAATAACTTCAATTGAAATTCGGATCTAACGAATTCAATTTCTATTGATTTACAGACATTTTACTAGCAAAATCCTCGAATTATTGAATACAAGCCTTAACTATGGGTCTATACAAAAAAAACTTTATTTTACACATTATTATGTGTAAAAATGTGAAATTATTTTCATAGTCTAAATTTCAATAGCTTAAAATTACAAAGAGATGTATTCAAATATTTAAATTAATTTTTCTAGTTTCCAAAATTTCATCATAGCCTAATATAATATAAACATGGAATAGCCTAAAATTGAAAGATATTCCTCACCTATTGACGAATTCCTATATAGTGGCATTAGGCCTCATTTCTGACTTACATCTTAAACTTTTCGATCGTACTTCCTTGTCACCTTTCGGACTATTGATTTTATGAACAGGATATTGATCGAATAAATAAATAATTGATTGTTTGATTTGATTGGTTGGTTGCTGATTGATTGTTATTGATTTACTGATTGAATATTAATTTAATTTCTTATTTGATTAGTTGATTGTTTGTTTGACAATGTTTAACTGATTGATTAGATTGTTGGTTGATTGATTAATTGATTGATTGATTGATTGATTAGTTGTGTGATTTTTTTTTTATTGATTGCAAGAGTTATGTTGACGATCGGCGGATTCGAAAAGACGGCGCATGCATCGTGATCGGGAACCATCAGTAATCGCTCACACCCACGAGGGGGCGGTTTGCTATCATGATTTTTTCACAACAAAAAGTTAAAACGAATCACGTTCGAAGTTGCGATTTCAAGGCCTAATTTTTACATCCTTGTCTTATCATTTGGCCAGACCTGTTTAAGTGGTATCGCCATAGGCCTAGTTGCCATTTCCTGCAAAAAGATTTTGCGATGGCAGAAGCTCTTCCTGCTGGTAAGTTCCTGTAAAAGACAAACAATTACAAAGATGTAGCCTATACTGGAGGAAGGAGGCACCACACCTCCTCATCTCATTCAGGCTTGAATGAGAGTACTTTAATAAACCCCCCAGTCCAGCCACATGACCCCGATAACTCCATGATTTAAGTGCCTTGCCTTGTAACAGGCCTGGCATCGGCCATGGGCTATGCTTTATTGTAGTAGTGTAGTATTACTAATTAGTAACTCATTGTACAACACTACAGTCTATTATGTTTACAATATATATTATTAATGGCAATGAACATTATTATTTTAATAATATTTAATTTTATTGTTTATTTTTATTATTATTTCGAGTAGTATATATTACTATAATATTCATATTATTTAATTCAAATTATAGTAGGCCTAGGCCTCTACACTACAGTCTACACCCTATATGTTCATATATATTCAGAATAATAATTAGCTACATTTAGTCCAGATTTTATAAAAGTATAATGACAGTTGTTTCCACAGACGAAGAGATTCCCCGACGAAGGGTCCATGGGGTGTCCAACGTACTAGACAAGAGGTCCAAAATCCCAGACAGGAGTCCACACCCACCTTCAACCCCAATCAGATTGTAAAAACATTTTTCAAAGCAGTATTTCCCAACAAACTGATTGACTTCTTCCCCAGTAGGTATCTAGCTTTCCCTGACTGGGGTATAACTTGTAAAGTAAAGAGTATCCCTTGCCTACTGGTCTCCAACAGGGAGTGTCATGACTTGTTGGAGACATGTTTTCATTTTTTTAATTAAATAGTTAATAGATATTGTTTGTTATGTCAATCATGTTTTACAGTACTTTGAATATCATTGCACCAGCCCACAACCCATGGATGATATTTGGCTTTAGCAAAATAATATAAAAAAAGTCTCCCTCCCTAATCACTTTTCCAGTCTAGATAGGGTGATAAACTCATAATATCTTTTATAGGGTCTTTAATAAAGCTTGGTGATTCTGACTATCCCACAGAAGAAAGCAGTGGTACGCTTAGCAGCAGTGAAGACATATTAATTGGAATATGTGTGACAAGTGAAACAATAGCACAACAACCATGCAGCAACGTGGAGACAATGCTTGGATTTATTTTGGCCAATATATCAACCACTGCACAATCATTGAGGGGTCTTATGGAAATCCAGTTAGACACTCTTCCACATTCTTTCAAATTCCTCACAAAACAAGGGTAAGGGGAACAGTTCAAAGGTCGAAGTTATTGGTTTTTAAGTGTCCTGCCACTTTCAAGATGAAAATATTGGTGCTCTGTGAAGTTTCAGCTAATACTTACAGAGTGTACTTGTATTAATAATTAATAATAATAATAATAGTTCATTCTTATTTTATAATTAATTATTAATAAACAATAAATTAGGCCTATATATTTATTTTAGAAAATTTAAAAATCACATCACAAAATATCAGTTGTAAAAAGACTAAATGACATGTAGAATAGAGACTTGAATGCAAAACAGTTGTTTAGCCAAGCAGTAAAAATACTCATTAAAATAGACTAATGGATACTGATCATTTGAAAGATATTTGTATTTATCTTACTTATTTCATCCAATCAGGTGGCCTGTTGCACCTATCCAAGAAGCCTTAATTAAGATTCAGCATCTAATAAATGAAGATGGTGTGATTAAAATTCAGCCAGGATTTGGTAAGATATTTTCCTTTTTCTATTTTGTGAGGTTTTATTACTATGGGGTTGTAATTATGATAGACATTTTAAGGGTGGGTACATTGGTATAATAAGAGTGGATTTTAAGGATGGAAAAGTTTGTTAATAAGGGTGGGTGGAGGGCCATAAAAATTAGCTTTGGACTGGATAAAACACTTCAAGGCTGTTAACCCTTCCCCATCCTCTAAAGCATGTTTTTTACTAACAATTGATGGTCCCAGGCAAAAGATAATAGTGATTGGTCATCCAATACTGTAAGTCTTGTTATAAAGCAATGTGGATTACAACCCTTACTCATTGTTTTCTAATAAGAAACCTTGTTATAAAGAAGCGAGGAATGATCAACCCTTGCGCATTTGAATAATTAAATTTGTACAGACATTACCAAGGCTAAATGGCTTGTCCTTAGTTCAGATGAATGAAAAGGGAATCAAATTCTATTACTATTTTGTTCCTATTGTTGGAATATGATGTCAATATTCTTTTTATCAGAACTGAAATTATTGTGTGTTTATCAATTACATTAAGTTTTGCAATAAAAAAAAAGTTATTAATTTAGCAAATTAGTGCATACAATCAGAGTATCAGTGTCAGTATCTTTACAAACTAAGGTAATCTTGGGATTTAATCTCGATGAGATCAAAGTTTCATTTTGATTCACAACTTGGTTGTTTGTTTACTCATAAAAATTTTAATATTAATAAGTTACATTTTCAATTATTTATATATTTTCCATATTTTACTGTATTTTTAATGGATGGGAAATAATAGTACCTTACCATCGAAAAATACATTGATATTCCTGAACAGTTGAAGATTTTGATGTTTCCCTAGTTACATTTGTTCAAATGGTGCATTTTTATGCAAACATTTTCACATCTTTTCATGCATGAGTGGGCTTCAGTGTACATTATCTTGAGTCGTCTGCACATTAAAGTCAGGTTGGCATAGAATCTCTTTTACGAATTGAGATGCTCAGAGCTATAAAGTGAGGTTGTGTG